ACACCCTAGCACTTAGAAGGTAGAGAAGGCCAGGAGTTCAAGGTCATCCTTGGTAGCATAGCAAGTCTGAGGTTAGCCTGGGCTATATGAAACACTGTCTCAAAAAAAAAAGAGTGAGATCAAAGAAACACAAAACTCTGGGTTTTTCTGGGGATGCTTTCCCTCTTAGAGATGGCAATCACAGACTATAACATCACTGAAATACATATGCCAAGATAAACACCAGGCCAGAAAGGAAATCCCCACAAAAAGTCAAGAGAAAATACGTGGATATCTTAGCTGGAAGGTAACCACATATCAAATTCTCTTGTTTTGTAACAAACCTCAAAATATAGCATCCTCCACAATACCATGACGTTACATTTCAGGCATGCATGCATGGGTCAGCACTTAGGCAGGCACAGCTGGGTGGTTACTCTGCTCCCCAGCACAGCTGGCTGATCATTCCACTCCACATAGGATCAACAAAGGTCATTTGATACAAGGGACACGAGTCAGCTACTCCAACACGAATCCTGGGCAGAGATCACTAAAAGGCAAGGCTCGGGGCTGATGTACAGATAACCAAACTTCTCACGCGGTAGCTTGGGGATCCCAGATGGCTGTCCTAAGAAGCCCATCCCAAAGCTCCAAGACTTTATATGGTACTGCTTTTGAAACCCAGAAATGTCATCGCCACCACCAACCTTCATACAAAACAAGTCGTCTAGATTAACTCAGATTCAGAGGACAGGCAAAGGATCGCTACTGCTTCTAGGGAGGAAATACAAAGAAGGCTAACTCACTTCGCTGTGACCTAAATAATCTCCAAGGTGTTACATCATCCCCTAAGTAACCCCCTTGGCATAGTCTAATGATGGGAGAATGGAATGATGGAGACTTAGTTGATCTGGTACTTCCCTCCCTTCATCTTGGACTACCCCATCTCATCCTTTCCATAGTTCAAGATTTCCATTAGACCTCACTAGGGCAAGGGGGACCTCTGATTAGCTTACCTGGTCTCAGGATATTTCAAAATTCTTGTTTCGGGACTATGGAGTATGTAAAGTTATCAGCATGACCTAAATATGTTACTTACCGAGCAGAGACATTACCCAATAAAGTTTTCACTGAGCCAGTGTCAAGATACTTACTCTAACACAGGGCCTAAATTTTAGGACACTCAATTCCTAAAGAAAAAAAATGGCAGCACATTTAAAGTATCAAGCAGGAGGGACTGGAGAGTTGGCTCAGCAGTTAGGAGTGTGTACTGCTCTTGTAGAAGACCTTAGTTTGGTTCCCAGCACCTACTTTGGGTTTCTTATGACTGTCTATAGATCACAACTGTGTGTAACTCTAGCTTCCACACCCTGCACTCCTATGTGCACATTCATACACACACACACACACACACACAATCTTTTGAAATAAAAAATAAAATTAACTATCAAGTAATTGATATAATTCTTAGTAAAGCAACTTTGTGCAGTGATCTGAAGGCGGAAAACACTGTCATAATCTTCCAGGACTCTGAAAAGGTCCTGGGCTTTCCTCTGTAATTTTCATGTACCACACATGTAACATGTCAGTGCATTCTAACATTCCTTTTATATATTTTTTATTGATTTTTATTGAGCTCTACATTTTTCTCTGCTCTCCTCCCTGCCTTTCCCCTCCCCTTCACCCCTCTCCCAAGGTCCCCATGCTCCCAATTTACTCAGGAGATTTGTCTTTTTCTACTTCCCCATTCT